CCTACTGTTGGGACGCATTCTTCGTCACAACTTCGTGTTTTGTCTTTGTACGCTTGATTATTTGGGATTGTAGGACCTTTTAAGAGGGGTTGAATCCTCATCTTCGTTGAGATGCTTTTGATACAGTAGATTATTTATTTATATATTTTGGATTTCTGGGCATCGTGATCTGATTATTTGGGAACTTTTTGAACCTTCTTTATTTGTCGCTACTGTTCGACTGAAGGTTTATTGTTCTCCCTTATTTTATTTCTCTATTTATCTTAGAGTTGTTTTCTGTCACGAGTGCCCTAGTATTATTGTTGATATGCCTACTACTGAGGGAGTTGACACCCTTACCGTTGAGACATTTGTTAGTACTTTCACCGGGTATAGAGGTCGACAGTGTTTGGCCTAGCGCCATCAGGGTACCCCACATCAACATAGATATGAGGATTCTCGTCAGTGTGATTATTGTCACCGACTAGGACATCTCAGGGTTACTTGTTGGAAGCTCCATCTGGTGCTTAAGTCGCCTTCTCGTAGCCGTACTGCTGCCATTGGTAAGGCACCACCACCTACAGTCATTGCTCCTGCTACTACTGCTACCGCTCCTCCTTGGAAGAGTGATATGGATGCTATCACTTCTCGCTTGGATATACTTATGTCAGTCTTGACTTCTCGAGGTCCGACTACTACTGTTGCGACTACTACAGGTATACCTCGTGCCTTTCATACTTGCGCCAATCCGTCCCCCCTTTGGATGCTGGACTTGGGTGCTAATGGTCATATGACAGGTGAGGCCCATCATTTCACCTCTGTTGACGAGAAGTTACATACTCAAGTTCAGTTAGCAGATGATACACATGCCCCTATTGTTAGTAGGGGTATAGTCCATCTCCCAGATGGTTTTACATTACGTTCGGTGTTTCTGTGCCAAAGTTGGCCATGAATCTACTATCTGTACATCAATTAGCCAGAGATTTTTACTATGCAGTTATGTTCTTATCTGATTCGTATTATTTGCAGGACCTGAGTACCAGGAGGATTATTATCAAGGGACATGAGAGAGGTGGACTGTATTATTTAAGCGATCTACCTCCGGTTTCACCAGTTTCTCCACTTCCACCTCCACCTCCATCTCTTACTTTGTCTTTATCTGTTCCTAGCTTGCATGCTAGTATTTTACATAGTACTTGTCGTTATGATTTTCGTCATAAACTATTTAGTTGTGGCATGACCGTTTTGGACATACAAATTTTAAATATTTATGTATGTTATTTCCTGTTTTGAGCAAAACTTGTGTTAGTGGTAAACTTGACTGTGTTATATGTTCCTTATCAAAATATATTAGGACCAGTTATATTCCTCGCATGCACCAATCACCCAAATCATTTGACCTAATACACTCTGATATTTGGGGATCCTCTCTTATTACTGCTCTATCAGGTGCCCGATACTATGTGACATTTATAGATGATCATACCCGTTGTACTTGGGTCTATCTTTTGCATAGGAAGTTCGATGTACTCCCTATAATTACTCAGTTTCTGCAGATGATTAAGACACAATTCGATGTCATTGTTCGTGCTCTTCGTTCAGATAATGCCAAGGAATATGTGTCTGATGTCTTAGTTTCTTACCTTTCTACTCAAGGTATCCTTCAGCAACTCACTTGTCCATATACTCCTGAGCAAAATAGCGTTACTGAAAGAAAAAATGGGAGTCTGATAGGGATAGTACGTTGTATGCTTATAGGCATAGGGTGCCAAAATCTTATTGGCATTTTGCTGTGTTGACTTCAACCTTTCTGTGCAATCGTACGCCAAGTCGAGTTCTTCAGCATAGGGCTCCCTTACATGTTTTATTTCTTGAGCAAACACTTTTTTCGGTCCCTCCTCGTATTTTTGGATGCACATGTTTTGTTCAAGATCGGTCTCCTACACGTCATAAGCTTGATGATAAAGCAATTCGTTGTGTCTTTGTGGGCTATTGCAATTAGTGTAAGGAGTATCGGTGTTATGATCCTATTAGGCGCCGTATGTATCACAGTCTAGATGTTACCTTTCTTGAGCATATTTTTTATTTTTCTTTCAGTTCTGTGTCTGCACCTCCAGTTGATGATACTTCATTTGATTTTCCATTACCCCTAGAGCCAGAGCCATTGGTCACTATCACTACAGAGTCATCGGTCTCTCCTTCTCCAGAGCCACTCATTCATGGTACAGAGTCACCAGACTCTCTTCCTTTGCAGGTTTATGTTCGTCGCCCTGCTCTCATCCCTCTGCTGATGAGACATTGTCAGTGGAGGATGATGATTTAGAGCGTTGTTATCCACGCCATGATCGACGTCCAATTGATTGTTATGGTTAGACCGCCAGGATTGTATATCCGATCTCTGCTTATGTTTCTTTTGGTGATTTGTCTCCTACATTTTGAGCTTATAGTATGGCCTTATCAGATATGTCGGTTCCTCGCTTTGTTTCGGAGGCTATGCAAGAGCCCCAGTGGGTTCTTGCCATGCAGACGGAGATGGTCGCTCTTCAGCGTAATCATACATGAGATCTTGTCTCTTTACTTTCAGGGGTGAAGCCTGCTGGCTGTCACTAGGTTTACACCCTGAAATTTCTTGTGGATGGTACTATTGATCGTCACAAGGCTAGGCTTATGGCGAAGGGCTTTACTCAGGTACCAGGTCGTGATTTTGGTGCTACATTTGCCCCCGTGGAAAAATTAACTACTGTTTGGTTGGTTATTTCTCTGGCTGCAGAGTATTCTTGGCTTCTTCATCAGTTAGATGTGTAGAATGCGTTTCTTCACAGTGATCTGAACGAAATTATTTATATGGATGCACCACTAGGCTTTCGTGGTGAGGGGGAGTATGCTGGAAATGTATGTCGACTGCGTAAGTCTCTTTATGGACTGAAATAGTCACCACGAGTCTGGTTCTCTCGCTTTAGTGATGTAGTCATATGTTTGGGGTTCACCAAATGTCATTCTGATCATCCCTGCTTTATTCGGTGGAATACTTCTGGATAGTGTGTTATCTTTTTGGTATATATTAATGATATTATTATTACTGGGGATGATATTTTTGGGACTGCGCAGGTCAAGGTAGACCTTGAGAAAGTCTTCAATGTGAAGGACTATGGATTTCTGCGATACTTTCTTGGGATTAAGGTTGCCCGTAGCAGCACGGGTGTTATTCTTTCTCAGAGAAAGTATATTCTGGATCTTCTTTTAGATACTGGGATACTGGGATACAAACCGGCATCATCACCCTTGATTCCAAACCTGAAGCTGACTGCTGAAGATGAGGAGTTGAGAGATCCGACTGTCTACCAGAGGTTGGTAGGTAGACTTATCTACCTAGCTAACACTAGGCCAGACATTTCATTTGCTATCAGCTGAGTTAGTCAGTTCATGCACAGTCAGTGTTAGCCTCATCTTGATGCAGTTTATCATATACTTTGATACCTCAAATTATCAGGATCTCAGACTGGTTCTCTAGCATGTTATTCAGATTCAGATTATGGGGGAGCATGTGATGATCGATCTATTACGAGCTTCTGTGCTTTTTGAGGGACTCATCTTATCTCTTGGAAGAGCAAGAAGCAGTCAGTTGTCTCTCGCTCGTTAGCAGAGGCAGAGTATCGGGCACTGGCACTTGACACATGTGAGATTATCTGGCTACGATCGATTCTTAGCGAGTTTGGATTTTCAGTAACTTCTTCATCTACATTATATTGTGATAATCGATCTTTTATTCAGCTCGCTTCTGACTCTGTATTACACGAGAGAATAAAGCATATAGAAATCGATGTTCACTTTCTTCGAGAGAAGGTTAGCAGTGGTATTGTCACTCCATCGTTCGCGGGGACCAGTGATCAGGTTGCAGATGTTTTCACCAAACTTGTCACTCTATCCATTCTTCGGGACTTCGTTGTCAACCTTGACTTAGTTGACATTTTCGCGCTTAGCTTGAGGGGGAATGTTGGAGGTATAACAACAGTCTAGTTTATTAGGGCTTATTAAGTTTTCTCTTTTTATCTTCTTATCCTTATTGTAACTTTCGTTGACTATATATATACGGGGGCTCTACACTTAGTTTGTATCCCTTTAACTCATACATATTCCTCTTCTCTATCATTATGGTTTCCACAAACTAGGTTATTCAATTAGGTCCACATGTTTGCTTTTATCCAATATGGGTAGTAGATTAGATGTCACTATATTAAAGCTTTTACCAAAGTGAAAGTAAGTGGATGATGATCAAACCAAGCATGGCAAAGGCAAGTTAAATTGGCTCGAGTCCAACAAGAAAAAAAAAACAAAAAGCAAAGAAAGATTGTAATGATTTAGGGGATCATAGACCATAATATGTTGACCAAATATGGTCTTAAGACACATATATACAAACAAAGTTTTGTGTCTTCCTGGAGGCTGCTTCCTTAATTAATCCTAACATCATAATAATGCACTGAAGAAAACAACCAAATGGGCACTCAGATTCATACTCAACAAGACTCGACTCACCATTTTGAGATCTGCTGTACCAATCATATTTCATCAATGTACTGTCATACTCTCAAATTCATATTACACTTAATGTAGACATACATATCACAAGCATGTAACAATCTAGGAGGATTGTTCTTTCCCCCACTTTAAGCCACGTTACAGGAGAGAGAAAGACAATGTAAATTATAGAACTGTAGAAATCCATGATTAGGGCTGCAGGAGCAAAAGTAGATAGCAATACAGCAACTACCACAAGCACTTATTTTTTTTTCAGATTTACTGGGCCTCCACTGTGCTTCCATGGCTAGTACCAGTACTTGCATTGGCCTTGGAGTGAGTGCCCCGGACGGTCGTCGAATCTATGCTTTTAGTCCGATGAAGAGTTGGAGTACGGTGAAGCCTGCAACGAAAGGAACCTGCATGGGTGGTTGGAGAGCAAAGGCAATTGTTCTTGGCAATACTTCCCTGCCTAGCAAGCCCTGATCCTACGGCCCCTGATGTCGGTGATGTTATTTCGGCCTCTGATGGAATCTCCACCTTCAGATCCTTGTTGTGTGTCTCTTGATCAATCTCCATGGCTGCCTCCTTTCTCTTTCCTGCATATTGAAGAATTACGCCAAACAAAAGATAAAAAAAAAAAAGAAGAGAGAATCGACCATTCAAGTATTCCAAAGTTGCATTGTAAAAATAAGTGAAAGAGAGGCATATGTATGTGGTATAAATCAGCTATAGTGAAATGCGGATATAGAAATGATAGAATTATTTTTGTGTATCAAAGTTCTAGAGACAAACTTTCAAAAAAATACACATATTTGCATCTGTCTGATTACCTCTGAAAGGGTCTGATATGGCTGGCAACACTACCAAGAACTTCCCACAGAATTTGCCTTCCTTTAAATAAAGATAGAAGACATGGAAAAAAGGGTTATGACTAAGGATAAGAATGGTGATGACTAAACAATATGATATTGTGGCCATGCAATCTCTCGCTCTCTCTCTCACGGGTGTGATAATAAAAATCCATTAACGTCCCACCAGCTTCCAANCTATCTCTCTCTCTCTCTCTCTCTCACGGGTGTGATAATAAAAATCCATTAACGTCCCACCAGCTTCCAATCACTTTATGTAATGCTTCAACCACTCTAAATGAAACATCAGTACCAGAAGAGCCCCATTACCTTTGCTTTTTCACCCTTTCCCTTTTTGTGAGTTGAATCATGAGAGAGAGAGAGAGAGAGAGAGAGAGAGAGAGAGAGAGAGAGAGAGAGGGATCCCATCATTAACATGGCAGACATTCTCAGGGGTGTCAATTAGCAAACTTATCCAGTCCTTGGGTGGCATTGATGTTATACCAAAATGTGGGTCACTTTCATCGCTTCTCAAAAGATGTGATACCATTTGTTTATATGAGTTAATTGTGCTGATCTTTATGACTTTGAATTTGAATGTCGAATTGGTTTTTGCAAATAGATTTAAAAAAATGATTTAAATTTAATTTATTTAAAAAATGAGTTGAACCCGAATAATTTTACTATTTTACATATAAATAATCTAAATTTTATGAGCTCGAGCCAAAAAATAATTAAAAAAAATTATTTTAAGTTTAGAAACACGAATAACTTGCCCGATTAACAGCGGTACCTATGGCTATATCCTCCACAGTCCCAATCAACTGGCACCACTATGATGAGATGTGTTGGGTCCTTTATTTTGCCTTGCCTTGGACATCCCATATTATCAATCCTTCGGGTCAAATTCATCTCTCAAGGCCCATTATGCAGCCCCTAATTACTAGACGTACCAGCCCAAAAATAAGCCCACCCAATCTGGACTCACAAAGGCCAGGGAGAGGCCATGGTGCTATCCATAGGGGATATTTTTCACTGATTTTTATTCAAAAGTGGGAGGCCCCACCGGATCCACTGTTGTAAGCTCGTGGGACGAGCCCTTGCACACAACATCTAACCTGTACATGAGAAAGGTTGTGACCCGGCCCGGGACTTTTTCCCNAGAGGGATTGAGCGTTGGCTTGGCCCCACCGGATCCAGTGTTGTAAGCTCGTGGGACGAGCCCTTGCACACAACATCTAACCTGTACATGAGAAAGGATGTTACCCGGCCCGAGACTTTTTCCCCGAGTTTTGCACCCTGCCCTTGGATAGTCCTCCTAATGTTAACCAAAAAAGGAAATGGCAGTGGATTATCAACACTAGTGATGCCCTATTCAAAAAAGAAAAAAGCAGTGGTCGGCACAATGATAAAAAAAAGAATTTAGAGTGAGTTTAACACACCATGTGACAGTGTTATGTTATATCAACACACAAATGATGAACGCCAACTTTTCTTGAGCATGTACAATTTTTGATTGACAATATACATTACCCGACACTGCAAGGTAGTGTATTGATCCACACAAAAAACTCTTGCCGTATCGCGTTGATAATCGATTTGCTCCGGTGTGTAAATGATCAAATTGAGAATGTGATACATCTAAACCACCCCTTATCTTCATATCATTTGTTTGGGCTCACCTTGCAGCCCGAGAAAGGGACAAATATTGTAAGATACACGAGGCCTACCCATTTTGTGGTCCAGTCCACAGTAGAGGAATAAAATTTAAACGTTGATTATACTCAGAAGCCTGAACAAAATTCTCCAAGAGTAAGTCTATCACGAGGACACTCATATACGCTAATTTGCTCCATTAGTCCTCCATAGATATACTTCTGTATTATTATGTATAATATTTATATGCTCCTTCTAACCATCTCTCAACTCTCTTACTAACTAACCACCTTTTATTTAGTAAGTGATATGGTGAAAAAGAGAAGACAAGTAAGGATAAAAATTTCGTTTCAATACATTGTTTCGGTCGCTTAAAAAACGGAAACGTTTCGACCTATTTTGTAGACGTTTTTGACCTGTTTTAGAAATAGAATGAAAAAAATAAATAATTTAAGAATTATTTTTTTTTAAAACATTTTGAAACGATTATGTAAATGCATTAAAATATTATAAAACACCTAAAAATATTATAAAATATCCCAAAAATATTAAAATTTTAATTTCATCACTAATTTATTTGATCTCTTGTTAACGTTTCAGACGTTTTGAAACCAAATTTTAATCCTTGAAGATAAGTGTATACACAATGTGAGAGAGAGAGAGAAAGAGAAAGGGGGGGGGTTATAGAGAGACAAAAAAAGAGCAGTTAAACACTTCATAAAATTATACAGAGTACACGAGACTCTCAGTGACCTCTGATAGAGATGAATGGTACAATCATCAGTGTTGCCACATGTTAGAGTAATTCATTCTTAAACTTATGCTACAAAAAATCAATTAGAGCAAGCTGACACGGTTCAACCGTGGTATTGAATATTTGCTCCAATTATGGGTGGGACTACGATTGTGCAAAAACTGAAGCACCATGAGTTTTGGTAGGTTGAAGTCCATTTCCTAGCAAGAGAAAGAAAGCTAACCTAATACCTATGCCAGTACTTTTCTGATCATGAATAAATGGTTTCACATTTAAGAGCATAATCTCTAATTAATACAAAGAATAATAAATTGATTGCTCTTAACAACCAATCCTTTTTTAGCAGCTACTTGTTCGTGCTTGTGCCTCCCTTGCACTGTTAATTAAATTATTATGGGCCAGACCCTATTGATTCTAATAATTCACCATTGTTAGGATGCATTAGTTTTTTTTTTCTTCCTTCCAATATTTATGGGTGTTCAAGTCAATTTACATACATATCGACTAATCACTTTTTGATCCGGTCAAAGATAGGTCATCTATGCCAGAAATAAGGTATTCATTAGAAAAAAAATAAAGGGCAATCCCAAATGATCAGACGGGAAGTTGTCATCAACTATGAGATTACATTATAAAGGTAGAAAAGAAGAGAAAAATCGGGAAGGAATGATGGCCGAAATGAAGAGTTTGGTAATCTTTATAGGTATGCCACTTATAGCATAATTAAAGATAATAGATCCCAAAAGAGAATACATTATGCGATAATATAAATACCGGTCAATTGCTTATTAAGTCAAGGGTTCGTACTTTTATCTTGTTATTCAGTCTTACCTAGCTATATGAAAATTTCTCCAATGATAAGAGAAAGGGAAAGTATTGACAAGCCCATTGCAGCTTCTTACCATCTCGTGGTTTTGGACAATAAACCACAATTCTCGTCACGGGGAGCTATGGACCTTAAAATTTTAGATATGATTTGGGAAGTCGACATTAAATTGACATCGAATGATGAAAATCGAATTTTGTCCCTACAAATTGAAGGAATAAATAGATAAACTCATTAAACCTATCAATTAAACGGGTCAATACAAATACAGATTAAAATTGATTACTCCTCTACTTTGAACCCTTCAAACCAATTATCAAATTAGTGTTGGTTTTTTTTTTTGTGGAGTTTAGTTTGTATATGTGATTCGGATGATGA